CCAGGAGACCTCCCCAGCTCTGCACCCCTTAACTCTGTGCTGTCCTGGTGGGGCTGGAGACCAGGGTTCCTGAGGGACCAAGGCCTCCCCCCAGGGCCTCATCTGCCCACTAAGATCTGCCTCCAACAGACCCAGTCTGCCCCAGATACCCCTAGCCCAGGTAGAAAGGAGCCCCGGGTCCTCACTGACTCCCTCGGTGGCCTTCTCGGTGCGGTGGGCCAGGCCCTCAGCAGCCAGCTTCCCCAGGCCTCCCAGCATCGCGTGGCAGCAGACAGTGGCCAACTAGGATGCTGAGGACTGGCCCAACGTGCTTTTATAGCTGCCTCTGGTGCCTCTCTAGGCTCTGAGGCAACAAGCCCTTGCTCCAGCCCAGGCTGGACAGGTGAGTCAGAAAGGGCGACAGCAGGCACTGGGGTGGCAGCATCCCCTGACAGCACGAGACTTCTGTAGCCCTGTCCTAGGGACCCCGTGAAGGACAGGGGCAGGGAGCAGGGCTGAGGCTGGACAGGAGAGATCTGGACATGCCTCTTCCTTGAGGCAGAGGGCCTGAGTCCCAGCCCCCCGAGACCAAAGCTTCCCAAGCCTGGGCACTGATATGTACCTGGAGACAAGGCCTAGGATTCTAAGCCTACTGCTCAAGGTCCGCCATGTGGCCCGGTAAAGGGTTTGGGGGTTCTATAGGCTTGGAGATCTGGGCAGTGCTTTGGGTCACAAACACAAGTGGAGTGAGGGTGACTGTCCTCCCCATTCCTGGAGACCCTGGCTCTGCAGAGCAGTTTGCAGCCTCCATGGGATAGGTGGGGTGTTCAGGGGGGCACAGCACTGAGCAGAAACATAGTCACTTAGTGCTGCTCAGCTGATGCTCACTCACCCTAGAGGCTCTGTGACGTCAGTGGTGCCCTCCTATACCCTGGCAGTCCTGAAGGAGTAGACAGAGGCCTCCACCACCACTCAGGGAGATGCTTCCAGTCCTAATTAGAATCCCCGAGAAAGCAGCTTCCCTGGCTCCTGGCACATCGCATGAGAAGTGGCAGGGCTGCTCCCTAGTCACTCATGATGGACAGAGATGCCTCAAGCCACCTGCCACATGCTGGTTCCCTTAGTCACCAGCCCAACCTGAGCCTCCGTTTCCTCATCTGTAAAATGGGGATAGCGTGCCTTCCTGGCTGTGTCACTAATCATCCCTGAGACAAAGCATGCCAGCTCCTGGTAAACACCTGTTCCCTCCACTCGTCACTGAGGCGCTGGGAGGTGCCCTTGGGCAGTGAGTTCTGACCAACCGGTGGGGTGGGCCAAGGAGTGACTAGGACATGAGGCTGCCTGGAGCCAGAGGGCTGGGGGATGTGACTTCCGCTGGCCGGGAGCCAAGGAGAGGTGTTCCCGTGCTCCTACTTCTGGGGTGCAGGCCTGGGGCAGGGGTCTGAGGCTCTCTCCCCAGTGCAGGCTCCTGGAGCTGCTCTCCTGGGTGTATTGGGGCCTGATTAGTTTACTGGACTGTGGGCCCTCCCAGCCTGGGACTCTGGAGCTGAGACCCTCTTGCATGCCTGCATGGTGTTTGGGGGCTCCAGGGCTATGGCCAGTCCCCCTAGGGTGGGCAGTGGGTATCGTGGGCAGCAGGACCTCTGGGTCTCAAGGCCACGGCCCAACACATGCCATTGCTGTCTCCTTTGGGCAGGGGTGAATCGGGGCTTAAACAATTTAGAGGGGCCCTCTTTATGAAAGGGAATACAATCATACGATTCTTGCACATTTTTCATTGATATACGTATGAACTTCTGGATCCAGACGGGGCTGTGAAAGTGGGGGGGCCTGGAGCTCGGGCGGGTCCAGATGACCCTGTCCTCCTTTGTAACAGCCAGAGTCCAGGATGTTTTGCTCAGGGCATTGGGCTGGCACTGCAGAGGGTTGGGGGGTGGGGGGACCCCGGGGACACGGCTGGTGGGAATTGTGCTAGGAAACCTCAGGGATGCTCCCTGGACCTGTCAAAGGCCCTTCCCTGCTCCTTCTGAGGCTGTGTGTCCCCCACCCCCACATGGGTCCTTTCTATGCCTGTTCCCCTGACAAGTGTCGTCTGCCTGCTCTAGAATGGTTTCCAGACCCCACAGACCCCCTCCTCATGAGCTCCCACCCTAGGGTACTCTGCACCAGTCCCCTCTCTCAGGAGCTCACCAGCCCCAGACAGCCTGTTGTCAGAGCTCAGCCACACAGCAGGACCCTGGCCCACTGCCCAGCCCAGAGCCACCACAGCCTCTGGGGACAACTGCCCTTCCCACCCCCTCCACATGGTGCCTGCCCATGAGACCCTGCCCTGCTAATTTAATGCAGTGCCTTGGTGTGCGCACTGTGATTCTAATGACAACACACCACGGCCCTAGACCTCCTGGGCAAGGCTGGGTCCAGACACAGATCCCGAATGCCCGCGGGGGAGAAGACAAGAGGCCTGGGGAGGCCCAGGACCAGACATGGGCCCCAGGCCCTGGTGCCCTCCCATTGGCCTTCCAGCTGCTGCTGCTGTAACCAGATCCCCGTCCACCCAGCCCAGCCCATGGGCCCCAGCAGGCCCTCTGTGCCCCACTTCTGGGGCAGACCCCTAAGAGTGGGACCCCTTTCTAGCCAAAGAACCTGAGATAGCCCCAAATCCTCCTAACCGTGATGGATCCTGGTCTGAGGGGCTGGGCTCAGGTGACTCCTGCAGGGAACTTCACCTGCCTGGATGAGGTCAAGGGTGAATTAGGTGGGGCCTGCCCCCCCCACCCCATCGTGAAAGAGGTCCAGCCCACAGTGGGCCCAAGGGGGCTTCCCTTGGACCCAGGGACCCCAGTCAGCATATCCTGAGTCAGAAGGTCAAGTCCAGCCTCAGGCAGGGAGAATCTGGCTTTGACAGGAGCAGATACATTCTCAAGGTGGGATTTGCCCAACAAACTAGCTTGGCAAGGGACTAGCTGGCTGAATCACTGAGTCAAGGAGAGCCAGTGTTTCAAATAGCAATTTGCCAACTTAGCAATTACCAATTCTGAAAAATAATTTATTTGAAATACTTAAATACTTAGGCTGTCTCATGTCTAAAGCCTGATGATGCCTTGTGTGATTTAAAGGACAGACGTCACGAATGCCGAGAGTTTTCTGGCAGTCCATCCTGCCGGTGTCTTCTCCCACTTTTGTTCTGTGGATTTGAGCTCACAGTTTGTGCTGTGCCCACCGCCTGCCCCCGCTAACGAGACTCCCGGAGACTTGGCTGGCCAGTCACCAGAGGAACAGGGGCCCGGCAGCACGCCAGCATCCACCCACCTGTGGGTACCAGTCAGGCTCCTGGGGGAAGCCAGAGGACGTATTCGAATGGATACTTGAGGAAACAGGCTGTTCACAGAAGTGTGGACAGAGTTAAGGGAACTGGTGAGAGATGAGGAATGCCCTGGAGCAGGAAGAAGGGGAGCTGTTCTCTCCCTGGGTCTAGAGGGACAGGAAAAGTGTCCACAGACCCCAAAGACAGCTGTGGGTGTAGAGGAGGATCATCAGGAGCTGCAGTCATCAGTAGAAAGATGTGGCCACTGCCAAACCAGCAAGGAAGAATCTGAGCGAATAACCACATCTCCTCTCTCCCACCTCCTGTGATGTCCCCCATTGTCTGAATTCCACTAGGGCCAGAGAGCGAGGCATGCTGGTGATGCAGCCCAAGAGGGAGCGGGCAGAGAGGAGCCAGTGGGTATGGAGGTGAAACAGAGAAACAGAATTCCAGCTCACTCTGCGGGATGTCTGGGTCTGATAGAAACATGGCAGCAGCTTTATTATTATTATTATTATTATTACTACTACTATTATTTTGAGATGCTCTTGTTGCCCAGGCTGAAGTGCAGTAGCGTGATCTCAGCTCACTGCCGAATTCTGCCTCCCAGGTTCAAGAGATCCTCCTGCCTCAGCCTCCCGAGTAGCTGGGATTATAGGCACATGCCACAACGCCTTGCTAATTTTTTGTATTTTTGGCAGAGAACGGGTTTCACCATGTTGGCCAGGCTGGTCTCGAACTCCTGACCTCAGGTGATCCGCCCGCCTCGGCCTCCCAAAGGGCTGGGATTACAGGTGTGAGCCACTGTGCTAGGCCTGCAGCAGCTTAATTTTACAGTGTCCCTTTTCTCCTTCTGGAAACTATATGGAGCAACAACAAGACTGAGGAGGAGGAAGAGGAGGAGGAGGAGGAGGAGGGGGAGGAAGAAGAAAAAGCCCATCATCAACACACACATCAAACTCAACTTCAGAGAAATTAGGAAGCTGGGAAGCCACGTAAACCCAAAAGCAGGTGACACCAGCAGAACCAACACAGGAAGCCAGGGAAGTGCAGAAGAACAGGGCATGAGGGGTGGCCAGGGGGGATCTTCATTGTTGCCAGCAACACACACTCCCAGGAGGAGAGGACCCTCAGAGTGAGAACGGAAAGCTGTGGAAGTGAAGAATGAAGGAGTAGGTGCTGCCCGGGGAAGTCTGGGGTGCAGAAACTGAAAGCATCCCTTCCCAAGAGAGACAGGAACACTTGGGAAGGCAGGGCTGAGTCGCTGGAGGCTGTATCTGTGAAAGGAGGCTGGCAGTAGAAACTGCCTGAAGCCGAGTGGGTTCTGAGAGGCAGAGGGGCAGCGCTACAGAGGTGAGGCTGATGCTTCTGTGCAGGAAGGGCAGGCTCCTGAGGAAGGGAGCCCCGAATGCTCTCCACTAGATTCCCAGGGAGCCCCACTCCCCCCACAGGGACCTCATGCTGACAATGAAATCCCATTCATATTGGAACCTCCGACACACTGCCGTGAATGTGAGGGTTTCGTGACTGATGGGGTAGGTTTCTCTTCCAACTCAAAAGTAAAATTTCCATTTATTCCTCCCCCAGCCTCTCTGAACGTTCACCTCTTAGATAACCACAGTACGGTGATCAGAAAAAGGAAATCCACATTCTCATATTTAACTATATTAAAATTATTTCATAAAATAACCAATTTAATTAATTAAATACATTTAAATAATGTTTAAATATATTTAAATTATTTAATTTAAAATGAACATATTAGCTAAACTAAAGCCCTTACTGGAGTTTCACCACTTTTTCCACTAATGTCCTTTTTCTGTTCCCAAGTGCCACCCAGGATCACGGGGCATTTAGTTATTTCTTAGTCTCTTGCCATTTTGTAGGACTGCAGTGAGAGTTCCTCAGTCTTTCCTTATCTTTTGTAACCCTGACACTTTGAACCAGTACTGATCGGTATTTGTCAAATGTTCCTCGATTTGGGTTTGTCTGATGTATTTCCATGACTGGACTGAAGTTATGCACTTTTGGCCATTACAGTACAAAAATGATGTGGAATCCTTCCCCGTGCATTCCATTAGAGTTATGGCACTGATAGTTCTTCTTACTGATGATGTTGAACTTGTTCATTTGGTTCAGGTTTCTGCTTGAACAGGGACCTGGGAGGCAGAGCCTGCAGTGAGCCAAGATCACATGATTGCACTCCAGCCTGGGCTACAGAGAGAGACTCCACCTCAAAAAAAAAAAAAAAAAAAAATATATTTTTTTTGTTTTTTGGGTAGTATATTTACTCATACTAGCTCACTAACTAAACACAGCTGCAGATCAGTTCTTATTCCAGCACATTCTTTTTACAACACTTAAGATGACTAAATGTGACATGAAATGGGGAAGATTTAAAAAAAGATGCCTTTGACTTCAGCATGAAACAGATACAAGTGTATGATGAAAATACAACCTCAATAAAAGCGCCACTTACCGTAAATGAGTATAACTCTTCATCACATACGCTCAAAGATCTATCTGCATCTCTATAAAATAAGAGTGTGCATTACTTCAAAAGCTGTTAATATCTTAGTATAATACCTGTTTAGTAAAATAATGCCTCCTGTGTGCTTTGGTGTTTACCAAAGCAGTTTTTACGAAACCTTCTCCTGGATCCTGACTTGCAGAGGATTTCCTGACTACTTCTTTCACAGCACTTCATGGCCTGTACTGTGAAGTCTTTTATATGATAACCAGTCAGAAGTGCCCATAAGTATTGACTCTCCCTAACAGGCGATGGCAATAAACCAAATATATTTTCACTCTTCTAACCACACACTGAAACACAAGAATGTTTTACAAAGCAGTAGTGATGAACTTTAATAAATGTAAACGTGATTCAGATTTTCTAGCTTCCTTTCTCTTTAGTTCTCTGTAGTATAGTCTCATGATGTATTTATGTATTTTCTGTTGTTTGAATTAAAAACTCATCTGCCTTTTTAAGAGGCCAGTCTTTGATGAACTTTAAACTTTGTAAAAAACTAATGCATTGTGCCTGTGTGATAAACCAGTGGTTCTCCAAATGTGCTCTGTGGACCTCTCAGGATCCCCAAGACCCTTTCCAGAAGAGGCCAACGGGGTTTTTTTTTTTTTGAGACCTAGTTTCACTCTTGTTGCCCAGGCCGGAGTGCAATGGCGTGATCTCGGCTCACGGTAACATCTGCCTCCCGAGTTCAAGTGATTCTCCTACCTCAGCCTCCCGAGTAGCTGGGATTACAGGTGCCCGCCACCACACCTGGCTAATTTTTATAGTTTTAGTAGAGATGTGGTTTCACCATGTTGGCCAGGCTGGTATTGAACTCCTGACCTCAGGTGATCTGCTCGCCTCAGCCTCCCAAAGTGCTGGGATTACAGGCCTGAGCCACTGTGCCTGGCCAACACTGTTCTGAATCATATGAATTAAAACTGAGAAAGCTGATTAAAAAATTTAAAAATTTGTAAAAGTAATACAACGTCATTGCCTGCTTTTTCGTTGACACTTGCCATGATTGTGTAAAAGTAAAAATGGGTAAAACTGCTGGTTTCTCAGCATAAATCAAGGCAGTGGTACCAATTACATTAGTCACTCTATTCTTTACTGTCCCCTGCAGTTAAAAAATGTAGCCTGAATTACTTAAGAATGTCTTTGATGAAGCAGTAAAAATTAATGTTACTAAATCTTGACATGTCTCCTTAATATTCTGAATAAGTGAAAAGTTAACAAGAAGCGCTTCTGCTGACTGTAGTATGGTTATTGTTGTTGCTGTTGTTTAAAAAAAAAAGAATTCGGGATTTAATTGTGAACTGAACAACCAATTTTTTCACAGAACATCATTTTTATTTAAAAGTAAAACTGGGCCAGCGCAGTGGCTCATGCCTGTAAAATCCCAGCACTTTGGGAGGCCAAAGCTGGCAGATGGCTTGAGCTCCTTCAGCAGTTCAAGACCAGCCTCGGCAACATAACGAAACCCTGTCTCTACCAAAAATACAAGAAAATTAGCCTGGCGTGGTGCCACACATCTGTGGTCCCAGCTACACAGGATTCTGAGGTGAGAGGATTGCTGGAGCTGAGATCATGTCAAAGCACTCCAGCCAAGTGACAGAATGAGACTCAGTCTAAAAAGAAGTACAACTATCATTCTCAAAAATAAATGGAGAGGTTGTCCCTTCAAGGAAAATAAGTATTTGTTCCCAATGATGAAATTTAAGCTTTCCTGAGGACTTTGAAAAACTTATTCCTGCTACTGTAGGCTTGACAGCTTTTCAATACTTAAAGGTGTTTTAAAGTAAGATTGGTGGTTAAACTAAAAGTGATTTTTGACATAATAAAACATAAACCAATATATTCCAAGTAACTAATGCATAACATTATAAATGCAAGTATGGGAGGAAAGATCCATTTACTGTGCAAGAAAGATCAATGAGTACTGACGGAATAAATTTATTAATACATAAAATGCCACTGGAACTAATTTCAGAAAGTAGCACTTGTGAAGTTTTGATTTAGTATTTAAAAATACCCAAAACTGTCTGAAAACTTTAAAAATACACCTTTTACCAACTACATATTTGCATGAGGTTAGGTCATCTTACTGATTCTTTTTTTTCTTTTTTTGAGACGGAGTCCCTCTGTCACTGAGCCTAGAGTACAATGGGGAGATCTCGGCTCACTGCAACCTCCGCCTCCCAGGTTCAAGTGATTCTCTGGTCTCAGCCTCCCAAGTAGCTGGGACTACAGGCGAGAACCACCATGCCCAGTCATTTTTTGTACTTTCAGTAGAGGCGGGTTTCACCATGTTAGTGGGGCTGCTCTCAAACTCCTGACCTCAAGTGATCCACCCACCTCGGCCTCCCAAAGTGCTGAGATTGCAGGTGTGAACCACTGCGCCCGGCCATCTTACTGCTTTTTTTTTTTTTTTTTTTTTGAGACGGAGTCTTGCTGTCACCCAGGCTGGAGTGCAATGACACGATCTCAGCTCACTGCAACGTCCACCTCCCAGGTTCAAGTTGTTCTCCTGCCTCAGCCTCCAGAATAGCTGGGACTACAGTGTGTGCCACCACACTTGGCTAAGTTTTTGTATTTTTAGTAGAGACGGGGTTTCACCATGTTACCCAGGATGGCCTCGATCTCCTGACCTTGTGATCTGCCCGCTTCGGCCTCCTAAAGTGCTGGGATTACAGGAGTGAGCCACTGCGCCCAGTCTCTTACTGCTTTTTAAAAGCAAATTAGAAAGAAAGATCTAGAGAATAGTTGTCTCCTATCAAGCTCAACATGAGAGACTTTAAATAATATAAATACATGACACTTTTTACTCAACTTTTTATTGTAGAAAAGTTATTTTTCAGTGAAAAATTTCTGTTAAAAATATTGTTCTCAAGGAATATTTTCTGGTATTACAACCTGGGTCAGGGTTACTACTGACATCCAGTTGGTAGAGGCCATGAAAGCGGCTAAACTCTCTGCAATGCACAGGACAGTCCTCACAACAAAGCGTTATCTAGCTCATAATATCAACAGTGGTAAGGCTGTGAAATCTAAACTAAAAATAGATTTTGAAAAAAATCTCAGTTTTCTATTTCTACCACAGTCAATATCAATATAATCAACATAAACACACTCTTTGAGATGCTCAATCATTTAAGAATTAAGAGTCTTAAGGAACAAAGAAAACACAAATAATTTGCTTCGATATTTTAGCAGGCACAATACAGCTTATGATGTCTACAGCTGTGACCTAACACTGAGCTTGACATCTTGCAAAGTAATTAGCTAGAATAACAAGACAGGTTTCTAAAAAGCTCACCTCTGCGTGATATCATGATGTATCTCCAAGGTCACTCTGTGGAAGGAAAAACAATTCATAACAATAGATGTTATCACTTGTTAGGCCTGAAGACATTTTTTAAAAGGCGGGCAGAGGAAACTCTCCTAGTGGCCCTGAAATTCAAATCTTCTAGTTTGGAACACCACCATAAGGGCACTTTGTTTCATTTCTTGGTTTTTCACAAAAATATAAGAACCAAAATGCAAGGCAATATGCTGTTAAGAAGACGTGTTTCTGTTGATCATTATATTGTATAAATAATAACAGATTTCCCTGTTATATGCTCTTCTACCCACAAAACCTTTCGTCCCATGTGATTTATTTTATGTATTTATTTATTTTTTGACCCAGAGTCGCACTCTGTTGCTCAGACTGGAGTGCAGTGGTGTGATCCTGGCTCACCACAACCTCCATCTCACAGGTTCAAGCGATTCTCATGCCTCAGCCTCCCAAGTAGCTGGGACTACAGCTTTGCACCACTATGCCCAGGTAACTTTTTTGTTTTGTTTTGTTTTGTTTTTGGGATGGAGTTTCACTCTTGTTGCCCAAGCTTGAGTGCAATGGTGTGATCTTGGCTCACAACAACCTCTGCCTCCAAGATTCCAGCCATTCTCCTGCCTCAGTCTCCCGAGTAGCTGGGATTACAGGCATGAGCCACCACACCCAGCTAATTTTGTAGAATGAGGCTCAAAACAACTGAGAGAAGGCAAATCTCAATTTTAGTTACTAGGTCTATACAATATTAACACATTTTAAAAAGCCTGTAACATTAGCATGTAAGATGGATATGTCTATAGTGCTTCAAGTAGTTTTCATCTGTGAAATAATTTTAAAATCACGGAGTTTAAAGTTACATGCTGGAAAGGACTAATGACCTTACATGACATTTAATTCAACACTCATCTTACAGATCAGGGAAACAAACCTTAAGACTGACTTGCCCAAGGTCCCACCAAATAGGAACAGTTTCTTGTCCTAAACTCAAATTAAGCTGTGGCTCTCAAACTTTGCTGCACATTAAAATCACCTAAGAAGCTTTAATAATGGCCTCATCTTCAACGTGAGACATTTTAACGCAATGAGTGTTGGGTATGACTTTGGGCATCAAGGTTGTTGGTAAAAGTTTCCCAGGTGATTTCAACGTGCAGCAAAGTTTGGAATGATTGAGCTGGAGTGAAAATCAGAATCTTCTGGGATGCCTTTCTTCACATAAAGATGCCTCACATTCATCCCTATTTTCCTAAAAGGCTTCTCAGTGCCTAGAGATAGAGGGAAAGTGGAGATGGGAAGACACATCTGTTTTCAGATCTGTATTTTGAAAAAAAACTTTGCATAAGTGTTCTCAGTGAGTTCCACCTATCCCACTGACAACACTGCACTACTGACTCGTGATAAACATTTTTCAGAATCTTTTCTTGAAGTCAATTTGCCCTATTAATTTGCTCAATAAACCTTTATTTCACCAATAGTTAATATACCAAATAATTATTTCTCAAATTTGCTGATGGCAAATTAAAACTTACTTTACTTTCAAAAGTAGACTTCCAAAAAGTAGAATAATGAGGAAAAAAGCATGACATTTGTTTGAGCAAGATTAATCTTCAAAGCTACTTTTGAATTGTATGCTAACACATCAAAATCTTTTGAACTCAAAGAAGCCAGGGACTCTAGTCAAAGTAGTTTTTGTGTATGTGTGCTCAAAGATTTAAGAGACTTGGCTGACTACAGACATTTAGTGATTACTCAACAGGTCCCAAAGCTCAGGACTTGAGACAGAGTTTGAGTCCAGTTTTTGCTGAAACACAATTTCATCACAACTATTATTAAAAGGGAGGGAGGAAAGTGACATTATTATGAGTGTAAACTTGCCATTTTTAATTGAAGTAAAAGTTATTGACAATTGAATTAGCTAAAAAGGCTAGTGCATTTGAAATGAAATTGTTTATAAGCTAGTTATGCCATGTTTACAGAATGAAAAGTAAAATCAAAGATAAAGACATTAATATTCTAAATTAGTACTTTCCAAACTGTGTTCTAAAAATCAACACTCATAACCCAAGGAGATGATAATAATGTACACTGGACAGCCACTAGGAGCTGTTGGTGGTGTTGGTTGTTGTCCCTTTTAAAATAAACTGCATCTCAGGGTGCTCTCAAAGCGCATCTTTGTGGCGCACGAGGTGCTCACGCACAATGGGAGAAATTCAAATGCAGATACACTGTGGTGCCAGAAGAGGAAAAGCTGTTCCTTCTTCCAAGGCTACTGTTCAAAGTAGTACACACTGATTTAGGCCTATAATGCACTGAACGACTAAGTTTTCATGAAAAACATTCAATAAAGGGAGCCTATCCTTCTCATGACCCAAATGAGAATCTGAGAGAATACTTTCCATTCCTTTCAAAACTTGATCAATTCAATGCGTTCAGCATTGTCGTAAGGCATAAAGGCATCAAAAAAATACACTTTTTCTGGGACTGTTTCTTTGCTATCTGATTTTTCCTTGTACCATGACATCTAAGATTAAAAGAGAAATTGATACTTAATATATACTTAATATATAGAATCTGGATATCAATATATAGTTGACTCCAATTTCTTAAACTGATTGCTGAAGAGGACAACCAAATGGCTGAAATAATTTTAGAATAAAGGGATCTATCCCTTGGCAGTATAGTTGTACTCACGATATTATTGTCATTGTAAGATAAGACTGGCTGGCTGTGTTGTCATCAAGGAATATTGTTGAACATGAGCTGTATTGTTGACTGAAACGCACAGTAGATACCTGAAAGGGAAGGGAAGTATAAGTTAAACTTATCAAAGTGTATTTTTTCTTGGTTAAAATGTCAAATGACAAAGCGCTAAGATATTTCTTACACTCCTTGAACTGCCTGAGTGCGGTATCATGTGCACTCTACAGAAAACCCATTGGAGGCTCTTAACTTCCAGAGACGATGTTTAAGATACGGGTTATAAAATGCTGCCCTTAATATGGTACCTGTCATCAAACCTAACAAGGATTTTATAAATTCCCTTTAAAAATCATGAGAAAAGTTTAAAATAAGATTTCATTGCTTTTTTCTACAACAATATAAAGCAGCCAAGAATTTCTATTTCTATGATTAATTTACTACGATAAAATGTAATGTATTAAATAATACTGGTACAAGAGTATTTTATTGCAGTGACTACAAGACTAATGCATTTACTAAATTACTCATCCTAAATGTATTATTTCAGGCGATATTGTGACAAAACAAGTGTTTCGGATTCAGAGGCTCTGTGTGCCAGGGCTGCTAGGCCACCAACAAGCGAGGAAGTCATAGATTTCTCTAGTCCTATTTTCTTATGTGGAGGATAAAAAGAGTATCACTTAAATATTCTCTCACATCCTGAAAATAGATGACAACTTAAAAAATCTTTCGCTTCATGTTTAAATAAGACTACCATGACATGCCTCAAATGAGACTCTCAGAGAATACTTTCCATTCATTTCAAAACTTGATCAATTTCATTCTATAAATCATCTGACCTGCACCTAGCCATTTTCCTGCTCCACTCCCGCTCTCTCCCTAGAATACTTCTTTTCTCTTTCCTTGTTTCAGCAAGCTCGACTCCATCTACCCTCTTGGATCTCTTTGTCGGCAGCCACACCAAAAAATGTTTTTTCTACACTAATTAGTCGAATTCACAAGACACTAATTGTTGCAGAGTATTCCCCTCATGAGAAAGTATGCCTCTCCTTAAGAGTACGGGAGGCCCCTTACTCTTCCTACCTCCAGCTGCTGAGCATAGAATTTTGAATAAATCCAAAACTTTGACAAGTGTTTGACAATTCAGTTATAATTTGGAAGATAAGTCTTACTACATTTAATTACAGCAAAAACACTACTAACAGTTTACTGTTTATAGGTATTATTTAAGGTAGTCACAAAATGGAAACAAATAATCTAACATCAGTCAACATAAATCAGAGTATGAAATTTTATGATCCTTAACAAGAAATGGAAGGGGCTACTTAGTAGTTTTAAGGTTTAATAACAAAAACTAGAAAATAATCGTACCTAGTAATTTAGTAAGTCAAAACCAAAGCCTTGGATGTCGATGCCCACCCACTGACTTCTTCCGCTGTACCTGCTGCCTCTCATTTTAACCCATTAGAAATATTAAAGTTGTTTTCCTTTTAGAGGTCTTCATCTCCTTGGTTAGGTCTATTCCTAATTATTTTATTTTATTTTATTTTATTTATTTTATTTTTGCAGCCATCATAAAAGGGGTTGAGTTCTTGGTTTGATTCTAAGGTTGGTTGCTGTTGGGGTATAACAGAGCTACTGATTTGTGTACATTAATTTTGTCTCCTGAAACTTTCCTGAATTCATTTATCAGTTCTAGAAGCTTTTTGGAGGAGTCTTTAGGGTTTCCTAGGTATACAATCATGTCATCAGCAAACAGCAACAGTTTGACTTCCTCTTTACCGATCTGGATGCCTTTTATTGCTTTCTCTCGTGTGATTGCTCTGGCTAGGCCTTCCAGTACTATGCTGAATAGAAGTGGTGAGAGTGGGCATCCTTGTCTTGTTCCGGTTCTCAGGGGGAATGCTTTCAACTTTTTCCCATTCAGTATTATGTTGGCTGTGGGTTTGTCATAGATGGCATTTATTACATTGAGGTATGATCCGTGTTCACCGATTTTGCTGAGGGTTTTAATTATAAAAGGATGCTGCATTCTGTCAGATGCTTTTTCTGTGTCTACTGAGATGATCATGTGATTTTTTTTGTTTTTAATTCTGTTTATGTGGTGTATCACATTTATTGACTTGTGTATGTTAATCCATCCCTGCATCCCTGGTATGAAACCCATGTGATCATGGTGGATTATCTTTTCTTTGAGATGGAGTCTTGCTCTGTCACCCAGGCTGGAGTGCAGTGGGGTGATCTTGGCTCACTGCAACCTCTGCCTCCCAGGTTCAACCCACCTCCCAGGTTCAAGTGATTCTCCTGTCTCAGCCTCCTAAATAGCTGGGATTACAGGCATGCGTCACCATGCCCGGCTAATTTTTGTAGTTTTAGTAGAGACAGGGTTTCCCCATGTTGGCCAGGCTGGTCTCGAACTTCTGACCTGGGGATCTGCCCGCTTCGGCCTCCCAAAGTGCTGGGATTACAGGCGTGAGCCACCGTCCCCGGATGGATTATCTTTTTGATATGCCATTGGGAACTACAAAACATTGCTGAATGAAATCATAGACACAAACAAATGGAAAGACATCCCATGCTCAAGAATGGGTAGAATGAATATTGTGAAAATGACCATACTGCCAAAAGCAATCTACAAATTCAATGTAATTTCCATCAAAATACCACCATTCTTCTTCACAGAACTAGAAAAAACAATCCTAAAATTCATATGGGACCAAAGAAGAACCCACATAGCCAAAACAAAACTAAGCAAAAACAAATCTGGAGGCATCACATTACTTATTTCAAACTATACTAGAAGGCCATAGTCACCAAAATAGCATGGTAGTGGTACAAAAATAGGCACATACACCAATGGAACAGAATAGAGAGCCCAGAAATAAACTCAAATACCTATAGCCAACTGATTTTCAACAAAGCCAACTAAAACACAAGGTGAAGAAAGTAAACCCTATTCAACAAATGGTGCTGGGAAAATTGGCAAGCCACATGCAGGAGAATGAAACTGGATCCTCAACTCTCACCTTACACAAAAATCAACTCAAGATAGTTCAAGCATATAAATCTATGACCTGAAACTGTAAAAATTCTAGAAGATAACATTGGAAAAACCCATCTAGACACTGGCTTAGCCAAAGACTTCATGACCAAGAACACAAAAGCAAATGCAAAAAAACCAAACAGGTGAGACTTAACTAAATAGCTTCTGCACAGGGAAAGGAGTAAACAGACAACCCACAGAGTGGGAGGAAATTTTCCCAGTCTATATATCTGACAAACAGCTATTATCCAGAATCTATGAGGAACTCAAACAAGTTACAACTACAAAAATATGGAACCAGCCCAAATGCCCATCAATCAAGGAATGGATAAAGAAACTGTGAAATATATACACATATATATGAGGAATACTACTCAGCCATAATAAGGAATAAATTAACGGCATTCCCAGCAACCTGGATGGAAGTAAAGACCATTATTCTAAGTGAAGTAACTCAGCATGGAAAACCAAACATCATATGTTCTCATCCATATGTGGGAGCTAAGCTATGAGGATGCAAAGCCATAAGAATGATACGATGGACTTTGAGGACTCGGGGGAAAGGCTGGGAGGAGGGTGAGGTATAAAAGACTACAAATTGGGTTCAGTGGATACCGCTCAGGTGATGGGTGCACCAAAATCTCACAAATCATCACTAAAGAAATTAGTCATGTAACCAAATACCACCTGTTCCCCCAAAACCCTATGGAATAAATAAATAAATAAATAAATATATATAAAGTACAGCATTTTTCTCAGTAAACATAAACAAAACAAAGACTAAAGTTCACATTTTTCACTCTCCTTTTGGGCAGGACAAATTTTAGATATGTTTTTAAAGAATTAATAACTTTTTTCCTTTTGCTGAGACAGGGTCTCCCTTTGTTGCCCAGACTGGAGTGCAGTGGTGCAATTACAATTAACTGCAGCCTCAAACTCCTGAGCTCAAGCGATCCTCTGCCTAAGCCTCCTGAGTAGGCAAAATGAAAGGCACATGCCACCAGGCCTGGTGTTTTTGTAGACATGAGGTCTTGCTATGTTGACCAGGCTAAAAATGAACAAATCTTAATTAAATATTTCTAACACTTTGGGCATTCATGAAACCAGCTCCATCTCTGTTGTGAAGAAAAGGGAAGTATATGGCAGTGGATAAAGTTTGAAAATATTAAACAAGGCCTTATGAGAAAAGTGTAATATGCTTATTATAGATACATTAATTTAAAAAATTCTCTGGATTAATATCATTATACTGAAATTAGACTGATTTAAGCACAGGTCCTAAATTTGGATTAAATATAATAGATTGACCACAAATTTATTTTCTCTCCCTCCGGAAGTCTCATCAGTCATAAAATAAAGGTTACACACATGACCAGGAGAGAAGGTTGACAGAGATAATTTTTAATAAATGCTGAGACATAAAAAGTAGATTAAGGAGTGGTAAATAACACGGAAGCGCAACTTTGGTCCCTACAGAAAGTGACTGGAACCGAAGCAAGCCAGTTTGTCTTGCAGAACTAAAGGCAGGTTGTGAACTTACAGGCAAATGGCACTTTGGAAAGTAGGGTAAAATGTAAAACAAAAGCCAGCAAAGTCAGTTGAAAATATCTAACCAGAGGCCCGAGTCTACCTGTCCTTCCATCTGACAAGAAAACTTAGATGTGTGTTCTCTGGATGTATCAAACCTGAGAATTTCTGGCTCATGAAATTATACCATGACTTAAACCTGAGATATAAAGAAAACTGTATACCAAAAATGGAACTCCAACTTCCTTCGCTAACTCTGCTTTTGGAAAGCAAGTGGCCATGCTTTTACTTCCCAGGCAGAAAATTGGGAGATCCTTCTCAGAAGAAACTGAAATGTCTCGAATAAAGATCCCCAGATAATACACCGAGGTCCCCCAAATGAAAAGCTAGTTTGGCTTCCAAAACCTCACAGTGAATGCTATCAGTTAACAGAAGTCTTGCTTACAAATAAAGCAGGCCAGGGACCACCACACATTGGAGGGAAGCCTCCAACAAAAGAGATCAAAACAATAGAAAAAAGGAATTCATGGGAGCAGTCAAAACCAGGAGCAAAACTTAACAAAAAAATCTTAAAACACTCTCAAAAATATAAAATTCAATAGAAAGAGTAGAGGATAAAGTCACAGAATATCCCAGAACTAGAATAAAAAAACAAAATAAAAAAATAGAAAGGGAAAAATTAAAAACCAATGCAAGTGTACTGGTCTAAGCAGCCTAGCGTCTGAATAATGAGACTATCAGTAAAAAAGTAATAGAGAAAAAAAAAAAAATTCTCAAGAAGAGGTAGTCTCAGGTTTAGTAGCCTCAATAAAATGAAAAGATCCCCACCAAGCTGTTATTATAAAATTTCAGAACCTCACAGAGAGAGAAGATCCTAAAAAGCTTCTGCAGATACCTAAAACCTGGTTGTAAATAGTGTATCACACACTGGCAATAGATTCAAGAACAACACTGTAATGACAGCACAACTGCAAAATGTCTTCAGAACTATAAAATCTAGATTCAACCTAGAGGTGTCCTCTCTATCAAAGAGGAGGGATTTTAAGACTGGCCAGCTCTCTAAATATCTCCACCCAGGAAAGTGTGTTAAAGTACAACTAGAGGGGATAACAGGACAGAAGGAAACACAGAATCTAGGACTCAGGCGATCCCACACAAGACAGCAGTTACGTGAGATCCCAAAAGACTTTAAGGAGATAGCACAGAAAAGCAGACATCGAGCATATCTAGGGAAAGCCACTCCATACTGAACTAGGATGACAAAAGGCCAAAGAAAGTTGCCCGCCCAACACACACACAAAAGGAACAGATATGTTTTCACAGAAGGAAAGCATCTTTGAAAGGCATGTGATAAATGCTACAACACTTGGGGAAAAACAGCTATTAGAAAATAAGCAAACGGCCGGGCGAGGTGGCGAGCGCCTGTAGTCCCAGCTACTCGAGAGGCTGAGGCAGGAGAATGGTGTAAACCCGGGAGGCGGAGCTTGCAGTGAGCTGAGATCTGGCCACTGCACTCCAGCCTGGGCGACAGAGCAAGACTCCATCTCAAAAAAAAAAAGAAAAAGAAAATAAGCAAACGAATATAGTCAGAAAATTAGCTTCATGCTAAAAAATAATGGATGTGAAAGCAAACAGACCACCCAGAGGCTACTTACTATATCTGGATGGATAAACTAACATCGGCTAGGAAAAAAGAGAAGATCCAGGAGAATTGCAGAACTGCTCAGATTTCAGAACTGTTTCAGAGACAGGATGAAGGACGTGTAATGCAGAGGCACAGTGAAAACACCATATGACTTAGCAGTGAATAATGTTTGCAGAGTCATAATCATGTAAATATTACTGATTTAATGAAGAAGTGTGCTACTATTGGAAGAAACAGAAGGAGGAACATAAGATCATGGTATAGCGAGGAAGGTATGCTTTCACCTGCTGTGACAGAAAGTCAGTAGACAGTGCTGGCAATTAACTTAGCTCTTCTATTTTTGTTATTTCATTAAAAATAAGATTAAATGTTTAAGGCAGATCTGTTTTTTTTTGAAACAGAGTTTCACTCTCTCACCCAGGCTGGAATGCAATGGTGTGATCTCAGCTCACTGCAACCTCCGCCTCCCGGGTTCAAGTGATTCTCCTGCCTCAGCCTCCTGAGTAGCTGAGATTCCAGGCATGCACCACCACGCCGGGCTAATCTTGTATTTTTAGTAGAGACAGAATTTCACCATGTTGGTCAGGGTTGTCTCGAACTCCTGATGATCCACTCACCTCGGACTCCTAAAGTGCTGGGATTATAGGCATGAGCCACGACGTCCAGCCTTAAGGCAGATGTTTTTACCACAACCAGACTATTGAAATTCAACTTAAATATCAGAAATCCTTAAAAGGACACACTAAGCTAAAGACTTTTCTGGATAAATTTAATACTTAGGAAAATAGAAGAGATTTAGAAAATCCACAAAAAAGGGTCCATGCTATCACCACTGGGTCCACATTGTAATTTAAAGAAATCAAGAGAGACATACTTTTATGTCAAACTATCAATTTCTTAACTATTTGACTGTTTACTTACGTGGTTTGTATAGTTGCTTCTTCTTATTTCTATAACTAAGAATAAAAAAAAAAAAAACTGGTCACTTCTGATACAAATGCCATAAAACAAAAGTAGTTGTTAACATCTTACTGATTACTTCTATGTAAAATGAGACAAAATTCCATTTAAAAAATTATTTTCAACAATTTATAATTTAAATTATCTGGCACAATTAATTTCATAAAGTTTCTATTACATACAAATGAAAGTTTCTATTTCATAAAGTTTATATTACATAAAAATGAAAGAATCCTCATGTACAAAAGAAAAGGGCAAAAAATTAGGTCAGATGGAAAATTTAGCTAATAAAAAAGTTTAACTGTTGCGTATATGAGCCATGATCCATTAGTATTCTCTCATTCTGCATTTACACATAGGTTACTTTAATTATCAGAAGCTAAGAGCTAACAGCTCTAAGAACTGCTTCCTGACCAGACACCTATCTCTAGATGCAACAGAATCCCTGTAAGCATCTTGAACCACACTTAGTGGTTACCTACTAAGGACTTAAACCACACTTAGTGGTTACGTATATGTCACTAAAAACAAAACAAAACAAAACACGGGTCTTTACACAACTGGAAAGTAATCTATCTTAAATTTTATTTATTTATCTTTTTTTGAGACAGAGTCTCACTCTGTCACCTAGGCTGCAGTGCAGTGGCAGGATCTCAGCTCACTGCAACCTCAGCCTCCTGGGCTCAAGTGATTCTCCAGCCTTAGCCTCCTGACTAGCTGGCACTACAGGCACATGCCACCATGCCTAGCTAATTTTTTTTTTTGTATTTTTAGTAAAGAAGAGGTTACACTGCATTAGCCAGGATGGTCTTGATCTCCTAACCTCGTAATCCAACCACCTCAGCCTCCCAAAGAGCTGGGATTACAGGTGTAAGCCACAGAGCCTGGCCTAAATTTTAATTTTAAAATGAATATACAAACATAATTGGACATGGTGTCTGCAGCACAAAAAATCATTTTTTTCTCTCTAAAAAAAGGCCAGAATAATGAAAGCCCCAAGAAGGACGTGGGCCATGCTTTGTTTCCTACACTGCCTCTGCCTTTGATGCTGGAAGGGCCTTGTAGGCAAAAGTTCCTATCACTGAAGAGTGAGGGACATGGAATAGCTTTTCTTTTACTGCTTCCATGCTCTCTAGGTGAGAGAAGCCAATGGCTCTGGAAGGAGCTGGGAAATACAATTCCGATATGTGTTGGATATGTTCCCCCTCCAAACCTCATGTTAACATGTGACCCTTAATGTTGGAGAGAGCGCCTAGTGGGAGGTGTTTGGGTAATGGTTGGGGATTCCCTATGAATGGCTTGGTCCCATCCCCATGGTAATAAGCAAATTTTCTTTTTCTTTTTTTTTTGAGACGGAGTCTCACTCTGTCGCCCAGGCTGGAGTGCAGTGGCCAGATCTCAGCTCACTGCAAGCTCCACCTCCCGGGTTTACGCCATTCTCCTGCCTCAGCCTCCCGAGTAGCTGGGACTACAGGCGCCCGCCACCTCGCCCGGCTAGTTTTTTGTATTTTTTAGTAGAGACGGGGTTTCACCGTGTTAGCCAGGATGGTCTCGATCTCCTGACCTTGTGATCCGCCCGTCTCGGCCTCCCAAAGTGCTGGGATTACAGGCGTGAGCCACCGCGCCCGGCCTTAAGCAAATTTTCATTATGGTCGTTTAAAAGAGTGTGGTACCGGCCAGGTGCGGTGGCACAAGCCTAATTCCAGCACTTTGGGAGGCTGAAGCGGGCAGACCACATGAGGTCAGGAGTTCGAGACCAGTCTGGTCAACGTGGTGAAACTCCGTCTCTACCAAAAATACAAAAATTATCCAGGTGTTGTGGCACCCGCCTATAGTCCCAGCTACTCAGGAGGCTAAGGCAGGAGAATTGCGTGAACCTGGGAGGTGGAGGTTGTAGTGAGCCAAGATCACACCACTGCACTCCAGCCTGGGCAACGGAGAGAGACTCCATTTCAAAAAATAAAAATAAAAAGAGTGTGGTATCTTCCGCCTTCCCCTCTCTCCTCCCACGTTCACCGTGTGGAACCACCTGCTTCCCCTTTGCCTTCTATCATGATTGTAAGCTTGCTGCAGCCCTCACCAGAAGCAGATGTTGAAGCCATGTTTGTACAGCCTGAAGATCTATGAGCCGATTAAACCTCTTTTTGTTATAAATTACCCAGCCTTAGGTATCTCTTTACAGTAATGTAAAAAATGAACACAAATTCTAACCAGAAATAACTGATTCAAAATGGACAAAGTCTACTCAAACTATAAAAACAAAGATTAGAAACTCCCATATTTTACTGTGCTGCATTACTTCACATATTATTATAGAACCCTCACTTGTATTCTTGCTGTTTAAGTCAACTGGAAAACTTGGCTGTGTATGGCTTTTTAGCAAACAAATGAGAATTTAACCTAACATTAAGGAAAATAAGCAGGAGTAGGGCATGTTTAAATTGACATTACATCAAATGAAAAGGTTAAAAACTTAAAAGTTTTGAGTAGCATGAACTTGGATGTGAAAGTAAATGAATGTGGTCAGAGGACTGTGTGTCAGAGAGGCCCAAATCACAGATTCAATCCCTGATGATAAACAGCTGTGCTTTTTAATTTGTTTAAATGAAAACCAAGCTGAAGCCTAAGTTCCATCATTCATCTTTAAAATATACTCTTTGGAGCAAGGGAAAAGGGACCAAGGATTATGAATAAAGAGAAATCCATGACTCCTCCGTCATGTGACAAATTAATTGTGTTGATAAAAAGATGGCAAAATGTATAAACAAAAAGTTTACATGTTTTCACTAAAATGATAACAACTAAAGGAAAGTATATCATACATTAAAATAAGACAGGTGAATATGTGAAAAGTTGAAAAATTTAAACCAATATGAGTTTTTCTAAATACTTCCTATAATACACCTGATCAAACAAGAAGTTTGTACTGTTTCTCTTAATTGGAAAAAACAATGTTGTCTCACCATCCATTTGAGAGTTCCTCTGGAATATTGTAGTTGCCTCTGGATTGGCAGGAGGGTTAAACTCCAAAGCTATATGTATAGAGGGAGAAAAGAAAAAAAGAGGTAATCATCTATAAAAATTTATCAATTCGTTTATTCAACTACTGCATTTAGGCTATTTCACTACATCTACTTGTATTCTTATCCATCAAAATGAATGTATAGACATAAGATAGAGCCAGGCAAGACGGCACATGCTTGTAGTCCCAGCTACTCAGGAGGCTGAGATGGGAAAATCACTTGAACGGAGTCAGGAATTTGGGGAAAAGCCAGCATGAGTAACATAGTGACACCCTCCTTTATTTAAAAAAAAAAAAATGAAGAGGTAAATGTCGGCTTTGAGTTGTGTAAAATCAGCTTTGCATAAAATAAATAAAGATGTCAGTAAGTTTTAAAAGACAGGTCTATTTTATAGGCAAAATATAAGATGTATTCTAGAGGTTTTTTTTTTTAATTTTTAGAAGTAAATTCAGCATATCTGTCACTTCCATGTCATTCTGAGGAGATAGAACCTCAGTTTTGTTGAGTAGCTGTCTTCCACAGTCATGTGATATCTATAAGTCTTCATTTCTTCATTAGCAATACATAGGGAGATACACAGGCCTTATTTGTATTTAAGGGAAAGGAGCCAAGTGAGACATACATAAACCGTGTTGTAATCCTAAAAGAATGACAATAAAGAGCCATTTTGGGGCTCTCATCAGCTACCCATCTACTAACTGGTGTAATATCACTCAGAGCTTTCCTTACATCCACGAACAAGTATAAGATCACTCAGAGGCTTTCCTTACATCACCGAACAGAGTATAAGTTTACACAAGTACTTACATGCTTTGTGTATAAAGGTATAATTAATTAATTCACATATTGGTTTATTCTAAAGCAATCCTTAAATATCTTGAAAAGAGAGGACAGACTTACAAGTTACAAAGTCACACTCATCAGGTGTCATAATTATCCTACCTCTTAAAAAATTAAGAGCCCAACTAAAGTTTAAATAGAAGAGCTACAAGACATTTCTTCTACAGCAATGAAATCTCTGGCATTTAAATGAAAAAAATAAGCCAACTGGATTTCACATATTTATGATGCAATGTTTTCTATTTTGAACATTTTAGTTTTTATTCAGGAATCATATTATTACCCAGAATTACTTTTACTTAGATTCATCTCTCTGCAAGATTTTAGAGGCAAACCAACTAATTGTTTTCTCTTTTCTACCGCCTCCCATCCCTCGCCTCTCCCAGCAATGTAGAGACTTAAAAATCTCCAACTTTCTTCCTTTTTTTTTTCCTGTGAGATGGGGTCTCGCTCTGTTACCAAGGCTGGAGTGCATTGGCACGATCTCTGCTCACTGCACCCTCTGCCTCCTGGGTTCAAGCAATTCTCCTGCCTCAGCCTCATGAGTAGGAGGAACTACAAGCATGCACCACCACACCCAACTAATTTTTGTATTTTTTTAGTAGAGATGGGGGTTTCACCATGTTGGAGGCTGGTCTCGAACTCCTGACCTCAGGTGATCCGCCTGCCTCGGCCTCCCAAAGTGCTGGGATTGCAGGAGTGAGCCACCATACCCGGCCAAAACTCTAACTTTCTTATCTTTCAACAAGATGCTATTGTCAGGAAGGGAAAGGACAAAGGGGGAGCCATGGCAACGAACACTCTTACAGGGAAGGTCTGACATTTTTAACCTGCAATCTTTATATTAAATATTAAAAGTCTACATTGACGTTCTATGTCTTGAAAGTTTTGACCATGAACCAATCCCCACCTCTCTTTTAGAATAAGGAGGTAAATAAAGTCTGTTAAGTCACCAGAATAAATCTGGAGACACATTTTGTGTTAAAGTAAGAATTTTAAAGTAATCAGAGCCTCATGGGTAAACTTCTTTGACAAACCCTCCCCCCATCCCCACACAACCATTTTTCTGTAGTCCTGGCTGTAACGTTTCACACCTTTCACAATTATTTTAAGCACCCTCCTTTTATTTCCTCCTCCTGTGTTCAAATTACAGTTAGAAGAAACTAAGCAGCCTCTATCAAGGTGACTTACAGCAGCACATTAAGAATGCCATACAGCCTCTCCCATGGCAACCTCCATTCTGATTTTAAATAAGAAATCCCCGAATACCTGAATATGAACTGTCCTGAGATTTAGCTACTTTAACAAAGGAAACAATTAGGCACTTACCTGGTTCCTTCACTTAGGTACCATGTGGATAGGTACAAAGAAAAAAAAAGATGGGTGCTGGAAAGTTGGGATATTTGAGTTTTTATTAAGAAAAGGAAGAGAATGGTCCAAAGAAGCCTCAACAAAGTCCCACAGGATAATACACAGAGATACAGACAATGTTGTCTCACCATCTGTTTGACAGTTCCCATGGAATATTGTGCTTGCCTCTGGATTGGCAGAAGGGTTAAACTCCAAAGCTAAATGTATAGAGGGAGAAAATAAAAAAAAGATGTAACCATTTGTAAAAATTTATAAACTCGTTTATTCAACTGCTGCTTATTCAACAAGAATAGCCAGAAATAAATGGTCCCATGGCAGCCTGGGAGAATGAGACGAGAGAGCAAGAACTGGGCGATTGGGAGGGGAGGTGAAAAAAAACTGCTGGACTCTGTGGGGAAAGACTAAGGGGTGGGAATGCAAGGCAGAGCCAGCTCTTGTTCCTGGCCAGCCCCGGGAAAGCTGGCTACAGGCAGAAAGGAGCTCGAAGTGGGCGATGCCTCCCAGGGGACCTTGGGGACAGCAGTAGCCAGAGGCAAGCCCAAGGCAGATGGCATCCGTCACCTCCTTACCTTCAGGCATCTCCCGGTCATGGATGTGGTGCATGTGGAGGTCCTCACCAACTTCAAGTTACCTCAGCAGGCTGCACAGCAGCAGCCATGGGTGCCCCTGCCATCCCGTCCACAGCTCCTGCCTCATAGATGTCGGACTCAGAGGGGCACACTGATCCCTGTGGCTGGTCAAACTCGGGGCTGTCCTTGGGGCACACACAACAGGTCAGCACGTTCCCTATGGGGCACCTCTACTCCTGTCTGCCACGACCTGTGCCTCTGCTCACAACTTTGGTCACGCGCTCCTGCTGCCCTAGGCTGAGGCTATGCTGCACTTGCAGAGATGGTCTTGCCCGCTGCTCGCCTGACTATCTCACAGCCCGACCCTGGCCCCGGCTGGGGCTGCGGGCCAAGGCCCGTGCCCTGCTGAATCCCCTGAGCTGACTTGTCTGGGAGGGTGAAGACCTGCCGGCTTATTCAATAGGTTGCGAACCCAACAAGCACTGAGAGACAACAACTGCCTGAAGAGAGAACAGAGGGAGCTCCTCCTCCTTCTGTAGTCACCTACACACTGAAGCCCACTGGCCCAGGTGGGAGCCCAGGCATGTGGCACACAATGCCCCACCCCACACATCACAATGCCCTCCCCGACAGCTCACAGTGCCCCACCCTGGCTGCCACCCCTCCCCAACAGCTCAGAATGCCCCTGCCTGAGGTGCCCCGCCCTGTGGCTTATGATGCTGCTGCTCTCCTGGCCCCTCCTGCAGTGCCAGGTGGACTAAGGTTTTCATCCATCACCAGCTTCCTGAGCTTTTTAGTCCTAAGAAAAGCACAGGTTCGTTACTTGAAGCCATCTTCCTCTCTGAGTTCTATACAAAGCCTCAGTAGAGTGGGCCATTAGCAACTAAGTTGAACAACTTTTACTTGCTGACTGAATATAGATACACCTGAATTGCTGACTGTTTTTGTAACAAAACACTCCTCTCCTGTCTTCCAATGAGTGGTCGTTTTTGTCTACGACTTGACCACAGCAATCCCTGGGGCCCTAGCTCTATTCTCAATAAAGAGTTATGGCTATGTGTCTTGAATGACACCTTAGGACCCATCCTGCCTCCACCTCCTTCTCCATAAAATAGAAACCTAACTTGTCCCTCTAAGCTTTGAAAGGCTACAACGTACTAACTCTGTTTTCTCCCCGCTATTTCTTCCTTCCAAGGCAGGGACTTTCAGATTTTCCTTCTTTTACTAACAAAGCACTAAGCATGATTTTGTCATACAAAATCGAGAGCCATAAAGTGGGTTACCACCGTCCTAATTCAATAAAGATGAATACTCGACATGTGGCAAGCAGTGTGCGCCTGACAGTGTCCCCACTGTGCTATGCTCATTTAACCCACAGAAACAGTCTCATTTACAGATTTTACAGAAGAAGTGGAGATGGAGAAGGTAGGTAACCTCCCCAAAGTCACATGACTGCTAAGGGTGGGGCCACAATTTGATCGCAGGTAGTCTGAATTCCCCAATTCCTCAAGCATGGTTATCAGAAAGTGTATTAGTTTGTTTTCACATTGATATAAAGAAATACCTGAGGTTGGGTAATTTATAAAGGAAAGAGGTTTAATTGACTCACAGTTTCACATGGCTGGGGAGGCCTCAGGAAACTTACAATCATGGCAGAAGGGGAACCAGGTCCAACTAACATGGTGACCGCACAGAGTGTGAATATGTGAAGGAGCAATTGTCAAACACGTGTAAAACCATGAGATCTCAGCTGGGCATGGTGGCTCACACCTGTAACCCTAGCACTTTGGGAGACCAAGGCAGGTGGATCAACTGAGGTCAGGAGTTCGAGACCAGCCTAGCTAAAGTAGTGAAATCCTATCTCTACTAAAAATACAAAAATTACCTGGGTGTGGTGGTGCATGCCTGTATTCCCAGCTACTCAGGAGGTTGAGGCAGGAGAATTGCTGGAACCCAGGAGGCAGAGGCTGCAGTCAGCCAAGATTGTGCCATGGCACTCCAGCCTGGGCAACAGAGCAAGACTCCATCCCAAAAAAACAAAACAAAACCCTATAAGATCTCATGAGGACTCACTGAATATGACAAGAATAGCATCAGGAAAACTACCCCAATGATCGAATCACCACCCCCCAAGCCCCTCCCTCGACACATGAGGATTATGGGGATTACAATTCATGATGAGATATGGGTGGGGACATGGCCAAACCGTATCAGAAAGTACGGGTAGAAGTCAAGCTTGGACAGGAAGTGGCATTGTAGATTATTATTATATTTTTAGAGGAAGTTTTCTCTTGTTGCCCAATGAAATTGTTTCTCTAATTTCATTTTCAGATTGTGTCTTGCAGATGTATAGAAATACAATTGATAAATGATTCTGGCCATTAACCTTTTATGCTTCAACCTTGCTGAACATTTTTTTTTTTTTTTTTTTTTTTTGAGATGGAGTTTCACTCTTGTTGCACAGGCTGGAGTGGAATGGTGCAATCTTGGATCACCGCAACCTCCACCTCCTGGGCTCAAGTGATTCTCCTGCCTCAGCCTCCCAAGTAGCTGGGATTACATGCATGCGCCACCATGCCTGGCTAATTTTGTATTTTTAGTAGAGACAGGGTTTCTCCATGTTGGTCAGGCTGGTCTCTCGAACTCCCAACCTCAGGAGATCCGCCCGCCTCAGCCTCCCAAAGTGCTGGGACTACAGGCATGAGCCACCGTGCCCAGCCAGATTAGTATATTTTTAAAACAACATTTTTTTTTTTTTTTTTTTTTTTTGAGACAAGAGTCTCACTCTGTTGCCCAGGCAGTGGCACAATTCTGGCTCACTGCAATTTCTGCCTCCCGGGTTCAAGTGATTCTCATTCAGGTGCCTAAGCCTCCCAAGTAGCTGGGATTACAGGAGCCTGCCACCATGCTCAGGTAATGTCTATATTTTTAGTAGAGATGGGGTTTCACCATGTTGGTCAGGCTGATCTCGAACTCCTGACCTCAGGAGATCCACCTGCCTTGGACTCCCAAAGTGCTGGGATTATAGGCATGAGCTACCACTCCCAGACAGAACATTTTTTTGATATGAATTTTAAAATGCCTCCCCTTCATTCAACATTTATTAAGTCCCTTCTACATGCCAGGCACTGTATGCATGAAATAGTCCCAACTCTCAATGAGTGTAGGCAGATACACAACAAAGGCTTAAGGAGTTCCGTTTTCTGAGACCACACTGCTGGACAATATATGAACCTGGGATGCAAACCCACCTCTATTTGACCTCAGATTTGATGCTGGGTGGTTTTAATTTTATTGTGGGAATTTCAGTCATTAAACCACAAAAAGGTGAGAAGTCTCTGTCAGATGTGTGTGTAGCAGTCTGTATAATAAGGAAGAATTGAAGGAAGCTACCAGACCAATTAAGAGACTTTATCTAAAGGCAGAGTAATGCTAAGGGCAGTGGCAGTGACAAAAGGGGAGGAAAAAGTCTGTGATCATTTGGGAGACAGAATAGGAAGTGCTTGGTCACGAGATGTGAAAGAAGAGGGGAAGCAGAGGAAAAACAGACCTGCTCAGGCTCTGCTGGGGAAGACTCGGTACGTAGTGGTGCCTTCCTCCTGGCAAAGAATGTAGGAAGAGAAATGGGTAAGGAGGAAAAGATAGTTTTTTACTCTCAGTGCCACATTAAAATGGAACTCTCTGATCAAAAATTGAATATGGCCGGGTGCGGTGCCTCATGCCTGTAATCCCAGCACTTTGGGAGGCTGAGGTGGGTGGATCATCTGAGGTAAGGAGTTGGATACCAGCCCAGCCAACATGGTGAAACCCCATCTCTACTAAAAAAAAAAAATACAAAAATCAGCCGGGCATGGTGGTGGGCGCCTCGGGAGGCTGAGGCAGGAGAATCACTTGAATTTGGGAGTTGAAGGTTGGAATGAGCAGAGATCCACCATTGCACTCCAGCCCGGGTGACAGAATGAGACTTAATCTAAAAAAAAAAAAAAAGTTGAATATAAATCTCTGTAGGCTAAGTCCATTTGTGACATCCCAACATGTTTTCAAAAGTAACACACATACTAAATCAAGCCATCAAGAGTAACTGGGGAAATTTCCTAAAATTTACATGCTAAGAATATCACCATTTTTCATTTATTACTTTCACTGAGCAACTTTGAATCTATGGTTACAGCAAATGAGGCATCTTGTGTAAAATAAAGCTAATACATGAAACAAAACATTTAAAATTCTCTTGTTCTCAGAGAATGGAGGAAGTAACTGAAGCCATGGGCATGGAGGTGATTGCCTTGAGAAGTTGTGTACAGTAAGAAGTGGGAAGAAAGATCTGGAGAATAGGGTGATTTACACGGCATTAAGTGAAGCCTGCAAAAGTGAGCACTGGGAGTCAAGAGACCTGCGTATGAATCAGGAATGGCTGCTCCTGTGAGTTGTTAGAAAGGAGATGATGCCTTCTTTTCATTTCTATAACAGCAGCACCTAGCACAGTGCCTGTTCAATAGGTACTCAGCATGTATTATCCCAATGCACAGAGTCAAATTTTGCCAAGGGGGCAGGAAAGCTACAAATCAGCTATGGCAACTTAGTGATTGGGCTTGTGTGTGTGAGTGAGCTGGGTGTCAGGCAGTGGGTAAAGTAGTGAACTGGAGGTGAGAAAACAACGACACAAACTCAAGGCTTCTCTTCCCAAGTATTTGGCTGAGAAGACAGATGTAGTAGTAGTTAAAGGGAGATACGTGGTAAAGAAAGCCTTTTATTACAAGATTCAGCAAAAGCGTGAGTATACTTCTATGTTAAAGGGAAAGAGCCAACAGAGAAAACCCATTTTTGAGGTTAGAAGAGAAGGAAGAACGAATGCACAAGGGCCCCAAAAGGCACACGTGCATGCAATCCGATCAGGGACAGGTTAGCTTTGTATGCCTACAAAAGCAAGAAGGGAGAAAGGACCATGTGACTCTAGGGATATTTCTGGTAGAGGAAAGGTTTAGGAAAAGATCTTTTGATGACCTTTATTTTAATAGACTTTCTTTAAAAAATAAAAATAAAAATAACAAACTACTGTGGGAAAAAGGATATTACGTACAGAAAAGTCTACACTTCTTGATACAACGAACTAAGAAAAAGCCTGATATACTAAACAAAACCCAGATAATGTCTTCCCTAAAAGTGAGCAACCCAAAAAGCAATT